TCTACTACTACTTGGTCTTGCATCTACTACTACTTGGTGTTGCATCTACTACTTGGTGTTGCATCTACTACTACTTGGTGTTGCATCTACTACTACTTGGTGTTGCATCTACTACTACTTGGTGTTGCATCTACTACTACTTGGTGTTGTATCTACTACTTGCTGTTGCATCTACTACTACTTGGTGTTGTATCTACTACTTGGTGTTGCACCTACTACTTGGTGTTGCATCTACTACTACTTGGTGTTGTATCTACTACTTGGTGTTGCATCTACTACTTGGTGTTGCATCTACTACTACTTGGTGTTGCATCTACTACTACTTGGTGTTGCACCTACTACTTGGTGTTGCATCTACTACTACTTGGTGTTGTATCTACTACTTGGTGTTGCACCTACTACTTGGTGTTGCATCTACTACTACTTGGTGTTGTATCTACTACTTGGTGTTGCACCTACTACTTGGTGTTGCATCTACTACTACTTGGTGTTGCACCTACTACTTGGTGTTGCATCTACTACTACTTGGTGTTGTATCTACTACTTGGTGTTGCACCTTCTACTTGGTGTTGCATCTACTACTACTTGGTGTTGCATCTACTACTACTTGGTATTGTATCTACTACTTGGTGTTGCATCTACTACTACTTGGTGTTGTATCTACTACTTGGTGTTGCATCTACTACTACTTGGTGTTGTATCTACTACTTGGTGTTGCACCTACTACTTGGTGTTGCATCTACAACTACTTGGTGTTGTATCTACTACTTGGTGTTGCATCTACTACTTGGTGTTGCATCTACTACTACTTGGTGTTGCATCTACTACTACTTGCTGTTGCACCTACTACTTGGTGTTGCATCTACTACTACTTCGTGTTGTATCTACTACTTGGTGTTGCATCTACTACTTGGTGTTGCATCTACTACTACTTGGTGTTGTATCTACTACTTGGTGTTGTATCTACTACTTGGTGTTGTATCTATTACTTGGTGTTGCACCTACTACTTCGTGTTGTATCTACTACTTGGTGTTGCACCTACTACTTGGTGTTGCATCTACTACTACTTGGTGTTTCACCTACTACTTGGTGTTGTATCTGCTACTTGGTGTTGTATCTACTACTACTTGGTGTTGTATCTACTACTACTTGGTGTTGTATCTACTGCTTGGTGTTGTATCTACTACTACTTGGTGTTGTATCTACTACTTGGTGTTTCACCTACTACTTGGTGTTGTATCTACTACTTGGTGTTGCATCTACTACTACTTGGTGTTGCACCTACTACTACTTGGTGTTGCATCTACTACTACTTGGTGTTGCATCTACTACTACTTGGTGTTGCATCTTCTACTACTTGGTGTTGCATCTACTACTTGGTGTTGCACCTACTACTACTTGGTGTTGCATCTACTACTACTTGGTGTTGCATCTACTACTACTTGGTGTTGCATCTACTACTTGGTTTTGCACCTGCTACTTGGTGTTGCACCTACTACTTGGTGTTGTATCTACTACTTGGTGTTGCACCTACTACTTGGTGTTGCATCTACTACTTGGTGTTGTATCTACTACTTGGTGTTGCACCTACTACTTGGTGTTGTATGTACTACTTGGTGTTGCATCTACTACTTCGTGTTGCATCTACTACTTGGTGTTTGACCTACTACTTGGTGTTGCACCTACTACTTGGTGTTGTATCTACTACTTGGTGTTGCACCTACTACTTGGTGTTGCATCTACTACTACTTGGTGTTTCACCTACTACTTGGTGTTGTATGTACTACTTGGTGTTGCACCTACTACTTGGTGTTGTATCCACTACTTGGTGTTGTATCCACTAATTGGTGTTGCATCTACTACTACTTGGTGTTGCACCTACTACTTGGTGTTGTATGTACTACTTGGTGTTTCACCTACTACTTGGTGTTGCATCTACTACTTGGTGTTGTATCTACTACTTGGTGTTTCACCTACTACTTGGTGTTGCATCTACTACTTGGTGTTGCATCTACTACTTGGTGTTGTATGTACTACTTGGTGTTTCACCTACTACTTGGTGTTGCACCTGCTACTTAGTGTTGCATCTACTACTTGGTGTTGCACCTACTACTTGGTGTTGTATGTACTACTTGGTGTTGCACCTACTACTTGGTGTTGTATCTACTACTTGGTGTTGCACCTACTACTTGGTGTTGCATCTACTACTACTTGGTGTTGTATCAACTACTTGGTGTTGCACCTACTACTTGGTGTTGTATGTACTACTTGGTGTTGTATCTACTACTTGGTGTTGCACCTACTACTTGGTGTTGTATCTACTACTACTTGGTGTTGCACCTACTACTTGGTGTTGTATGTACTACTTGGTGTTGTATCTACTACTTGGTGTTGCACCTACTACTTGGTGTTGTATCTACTACTTGGTGTTGTATCTACTACTTGGTGTTGTATCTACTACTTGGTGTTGTATCTACTACTTGGTGTTGTATCTACTACTTGGTGTTGCATCTAGTACTTGGTGTTGCACCTACTACTTGGTGTTGCATCTACTACTACTTGGTGTTGCATCTACTACTTGGTGTTGCATCTACTACTACTTGGTGTTGCACCTACTACTTGGTGTTTATCTACTACTTGGTGTTGTATGTACTACTTGGTGTTGTATGTACTACTTGGTGTTGCACCTACTACTTGGTGTTGTATCTACTACTTGGTGTTGTATCTACTACTTGGTGTTGTATCTACTACTTGGTGTTGTATGTACTACTTGGTGTTGCACCTACTACTTGGTGTTGTATCTACTACTTGGTGTTGTATCTACTACTTGGTGTTGCACCTACTACTTGGTGTTGCATCTACTACTTGGTGTTGTATGTACTACTTGGTGTTGTATCTACTACTTGGTGTTGCACCTACTACTTGGTGTTGTATGTACTACTTGGTGTTGCATCTACTACTACTTGGTGTTGCATCTACTACTACTTGGTGTTGCATCTACTACTTGGTGTTGTATCTACTACTTGGTGTTGCATCTACTACTTGGTGTTGTATCCACTACTTGGTGTTGCATCTACTACTTGGTGTTGTATCCACTACTTGGTGTTGTATCTACTACTTGGTGTTGTATGTACTACTTGGTGTTTCACCTACTACTTGGTGTTGTATCTACTACTTGGTGTTGCACCTACTACTTGGTGTTGTATCTACAACTTGGTGTTGTATCCACTACTTGGTGTTGTATCTACTACTTGGTGTTGTAAGTACTACTTGGTGTTTCACCTACTACTTGGTGTTGTATCTACTACTTGGTGTTGCACCTACTACTTGGTGTTGTATCTACTACTTGGTGTTGTATCTACTACTTGGTGTTGCACCTACTACTTGGTGTTTCACCTACTGCTTGGTGTTGTATGTACTACTTGGTGTTGCATCTACTACTACTTGGTGTTGCATCTACTACTACTTGGTGTTGCATCTACTACTTGGTGTTGTATCTACTACTTGGTGTTGTATCTACTACTTGGTGTTGTATCTACTACTTGGTGTTGCATCTACTACTTGGTGTTGTATCCACTACTTGGTGTTGTATCTACTACTTGGTGTTGCATCTACTACTACTTGGTGCTTCACCTACTACCACTTGGTGTTGTATGTACTACTTGGTGTTGCATCTACTACTACTTGGTGTTGCATCTACTACTACTTGGTGTTGTATCTACTACTACTTGGTGTTGTATCTACTACTTGGTGTTGCATCTACTATTTGGTGTTGCATCTACTACTTGGTGTTGCATCTACTACTTGGTGTTGCATCTACTACTTGGTGTTGTATCCACTACTTGGTGTTGCATCTACTACTTGGTGTTGTATCCACTACTTGGTGTTGTATCTACTACTTGGTGTTGTATGTACTACTTGGTGTTTCACCTACTACTTGGTGTTGTATCTACTACTTGGTGTTGCACCTACTACTTGGTGTTATATCTACTACTTGGTGTTGTATCCACTACTTGGTGTTGTATCTACTACTTGGTGTTGTAAGTACTACTTGGTGTTTCACCTACTACTTGGTGTTGTATCTACTACTTGGTGTTGTATCTACTACTTGGTGTTGCATCTACTACTACTTGGTGTTTCACCTACTACCACTTGGTGTTGCACCTACTACTTGGTGTTGTATCTACTAATACTTGGTGTTGCATCTACTACTACTTGGTGTTGCATCTACTACTTGGTGTTGTATCTACTACTACTTGGTGTTGTATCTACTACTTGTTGTTGCATCTACTACTTGGTGTTGCATCTACTACTTGGTGTTGCATCTACTACTTGGTGTTGCATCTACTACTACTTGGTGTTGCATCTACTACTACTTGGTGTTGCATCTACTACTACTTGGTGTTGCATCTACTACTACTTGGTGTTGCATCTACTACTTGGTGTTGCATCTACTACTACTTGGTATTGCATCTACTACTACTTGGTGTTGCATCTACTACTACTTGGTGTTGCAGCTACTACTTGGTGTTGCATCTACTACTTGGTGTTGTACCTACTACTACTTAGTGTTGCATCTACTACTTGGTGTTGTACCTACTACTACTTAGTGTTGCATCTACTACTTGGTGTTGTACCTACTACTACTTAGTGTTACATCTACTACTTGGTGTTGTACCTACTACTACTTAGTGTTGCATCTACTACTTGGTGTTGTACCTACTACTACTTAGTGTTGCATCTACTACTTGGTGTTGTACCTACTACTACTTAGTGTTGCATCTACTACTTGGTGTTGTACCTACTACTACTTAGTGTTGCATCTACTACTTGGTGTTGCCTCTACACACATGACGACATCCCTCTGTATGATGTCCTGGCCTTGGAAAAGATTTTTAGATTTATTAGACCTTAGACTCCCGTGTTTGAAGTATGAAGTAACTACACACAGGCAAGGTATTGGTTAACGTTTGAAGCTACCTAAAATGGAAAACGGAGAAAAAGTTTAAATTTTATTCAGATTTCAACAACAAAAACATGTGAGAAATCGCTGCTCCACTCCTATTCACAAAGACTGGAAGATACATCACGTGACAATCACGTGACCCCAATCGGGCTCGTGCAATTGACAGACAATAGAATACAACACATTCGCCACGGACACAAGTTAAAATGACAGTTACAACATGGTCACAATTTGAATTGATAGCCCCAATGTGATCACGGTTAAGGGGGCAGTTTTAATGTGATCACGCGTTAAACTGATAGATACAAAGTGATCATTTGTTATGTTGATAGTTATAAATGTGATCACATGATAAATTGACATATATAAAGTGATGACATTTTATATTGACGTATACAAAGCGATCATACGTTAAGTGGACAGTTCCATTGTGATCACATGTTATGTTGACAGTTACAATCTCATCACACGTTAATTTGACAGAAACAAATAGATCACAATTAAGGAATCGCTTAAGATATACAGAAAAGAAGCACATGTGTCCTTCACGGCAGAAATATATTTAATATTACTCTAAACGTGACAGACTGTGCCTGGACAGATATAGATAACAATTTCAAAGCATTCTTATGAAGCAATAACTCGCTAAGCGCAAAAGGCGAATGTGTATGTGGGCGGCGACTTGAGGCGACGACAGGGGTTAGGAAGTGTCACATCTTCAAACAATAGGAAACAGCTTCACCACAAACCTACTTGGTGCAGTGTCCAGGATTGCCATGGTGCACAGGTCAGCCTGGTGATTTGACAGACGTCGGACACGGGCGACGTGAAACTCACTGGGCAATCCGTCAGATGTAACCCTCTCAATTAGTTCTAACATTTTGAATGTGCAACAGAAAACATTTGAGATTGATGTTTACCGGTTCTCTGGCAATGCCACGCCAGGATGTTCAAGCTACGTCTGCAGCTGTGGGTTTATGGTGTCACGAATCAGTCCTACAACTACCGGTATACGGACACAGCCGATTATGTGACGTCATCATACATATACTAATGTATGAAAACAGCCACATCTGTGACGTCATCATACATGTATGGACAAACGGACATCTTGGATTTCAATACGATCGTATGACAATGTATATTCAACATAAGCTATGTCACGTGGAAACAGGATACACAATATTCAAACTATTTAAATCCTTGGCGGAGAAGCTGTGGGTAGACACTCATCACATGTCCTCTGAGTCGTGTTGGAACACAGGCCACCGACAGAAAGCCTTTTACAAAATACTTTTCTTTAAGATAATGGATATTTCTAACTGGTTCGCAAACGAACACCACACATGTGCACATGGATTTCACACAGGAGCAATCAGTAATTGTTCAAAAAGTGCATGATCGGCTTGCTTGTTCCCTCTTGTCGTGGAGGCAGTTGGCGTCGGTGCAGGCATCATTGTCGTCGTCAACATCACCAGCGTTGCAAGTCAGTGACACCCCATGGTTGTCCCGCCTCCAGGCACATGTGTATAATGATGGCCATATATACACGCCACTACTGCAATGAAGTGATAAGGCCGGTCCGTTGTGTCTAACACCCTGGGGGATGACCACTTTCCAAGCACCTGCTTTGTCCATACCTCAACATGTCTCTCCTTATTGTATGTCACGCCCTATCACAGGACAGTTCACTGCCGCCTTGTCAACAGAGGCCCGAGCTTCACAATACGCCACACTGCCACACAATATTGCCAAGGTCTCATACAATGATGCAAGCACCGAGTGTCAGCTACTGCACATGCGCACCGCTCGGACCGGAAATAGCAGGTAGTCTCCGGGCAAGCCCTCATGTCAACTGATCCACTGAAAAGAGAGGGGCAGAGTGAGCATACTTTTCTGAAGCGTTGTAATATCACTGAGAAACTGCTTTTTTCCGAAATACCCTAAATTTAGACAGATAGTTACTATTTTCTTAAATAGAATGAGAGATTGTTTCGCTATCGCCGCCGAAGATTAGAAATTTTGAGATTCATTTGTCGAAAATTAATAGAGAGGAAAAGACGGGGATGTTGACGGAAACGAGAGTGAGGCTTGCCCGGAGAGGGAGGTCGTCAAGGGGAGGTTAACCACAGTGAATTTCTGTGAAGGTTCATGCAGAGGTGAGAGGTCATGCAGAGGTGAGGGGTCATGCAGGAGCAGGGATCGAGGCGGGTGGTAGCAGGGGAAGAAGGAACGGCAGCAGGGACGGCATCCCACCTCATCTCTGTGACACAGCAGGCAATATGATACACGTGCAGAGTAACACGTGCCTGCCGGCGAGATCTTGTGCAATAAATAAATGTTATGGTAACTCCCAGCAGGCACTCTATTGACAAGGCAACAACAAAACCATTCTAAAACGAAATAAGTTATATGCACTCTATAAATTACATACAGTACACCTGTGTACCGGCCTGAGGCGCGTCTGCACGACTAGTTCAACACTGACGCACATCTACAACTAAGGCCTGGAAGGCATTTGGCGAACAGAATCGCCGGAACAGGGTGGCAGTCTCGCATGGCAGTCATTCAGAGTGACGGATCACGGTGCAGGATAGTTCGGCGAGATTTCCACTCACAACCAACTCATTTACAGTCTGTGTGTACTTTCGGTTGGGTCAGAGCGCAGGGGTATCTGGGAGTGATGTCAATACCCTGATGTATACCACTACCGTCACATCATCGATCGTGGAGGTACTTACTAAATGGATTTTTCTTGCCGCGGCGGTCCACCCCGGGCAACACGTTATAATTATCTGGAACAAACAAACATGCCGATACAAAACACAAGACACCAGCGAAGACAAAGTTAGGTTCGAGATAAGACCCCCGTTGCGATGCCACCATTCTCGATTTTCCACTGCCTCACTATCTCTATTTCAATGTGCCCAGAACTGCCGGGGTGAGCGAATGAGTAAATAGTGTTTCCGTAACAAAACAATAATATGACAACCCCAAACCCCAAACAGTCTTATTTATATCTTATTATATTTCCGGTGTAGACCCCGCAGGCTTTTGTGTACAACCATATGGCAATGTACACACGAGTGTACACTATATACGTGTAAGAAATAGCATATTAACATTACACATAGTACCTATTAATAATCGTATTTCAGATTCCTTTACAAACCTAAGGCTACAGGATCTTTCCACATTTGCATACTGCAAAGTACAATTTCTACATTCCCGCAGAATATTAAACTGCCGTCCACGCTTAATTTCTAAATTGATATTATAAATATTGTTAGCGTAGACTAAATATTTTTCTCTTAGAATATGTTAACAGATACAAGACGTGCAGCTCCGCCCCCTTGAGTACAGTAGGATGGGTTTACCCTTGCGATTGAGACCAAGACAGTCTTTCCACTCGTCGAATTCCACTCGCTGATCGCTGTTCGCGTCGCAATAGCGGAGGAAGTTTCGCCGACACTTGCGAGGATATTTCTTATTTTTCAAGTTAGTTTTCCGCAATTTTTTCCATTCTTTCCTCTCCAGGATCTGAAACAAGGGACAAATGACACATAATGCCCCTGCATGCCGAGCGCCTGGCGGGGTCACAGCAAGTACCATAGTTTAACGTCTTTTGGTCTGACGCCGCCGGGGATAGAATCACGACCTTCGGACGGATGCTCTACCACCAGACCACGGACGAGGTCGGAGGATGGCATTCATCTTATTCAGGCGAGAAGCTCCTCTCTGGGTTTTTTTTCTAGGCAGCGTGTCAATCGCAGCATTACATCGCGGTGCCACTATCTCGCCCTTAACACCTTCAGGATAGGATAATTTGTGTTTTCTCAGCCTAGGCTCAACTCAGGAATGAAGCGGGCTGCGATAAGAGAAGAAATTACGAGCAGACAACTGCTGCGAGACATCTAGAGCTGGAAGCAATAACCAACAGACAACTGCTGCGAGACATCTAGAGCTGGAAGCAATTACCAAAAGACAACTGCTGCGAGACATCTAGAGCTGGAAGCAATTACCAGGAGACAACTGCTGCGAGACATCTAGAGCTGGAAGCAATTACCAGGAGACAACTGTTGTGAGGCATCTAGAGCTGGAAACAGTTACCAACAGACAACTGCTGCGAGACATCTAGAGCTGGAAGCAATTACCAGCAGACAACTGCTGCGAGACATCTAGAGCTGGAAGCAATTACCAGGAGATAACTGTTGTGAGAGATCTAGAGATGGAAGCAATTACCAGCAGACAACTGCTGCGAGACATACAGGATGACATACACACAGAGGTAGACATACACACAGAGGTGGACATACACACAGAGGTGGACATACATACAGAGGATGGACATACATACAGAGGTGGACATACATACAGAGGACGGACATATATACAGAGGGTTGACATACATACAGAGGGTGGACATTCATACAGAAGTGGACATACATACAGAGGACAGACATACATACAAAGGTGGACATACATACAGAGGATGGACATACATACAAAGGTGACATATTTACAGAGGTGACATACATACAGAGGGTGGACATACATACAGAAGGTGGACATACATACAGAGGGTGGACATACATGCAAAGGTGACATACATACAGAGGGTGGACATACATACAGAGGGGGGACATACATACAGAGGGTGGACATACATACAGAGGGTGGACATACATACAGAGGACGGACATACATACAGAGGGTGGACATACATACACAGGTGGACATACATACAGAGGGTGGACATACATACAGAGGGTGGACATACATACAGAGGGTGGACATACATACACAGGTGGACATACATACACAGGTGACATACATACAGAGGGTGGACATACACACAGAGGGTGGACATACACACAGAGGGTGGACATACATACAGAGGGTGGACATACATACAGAGGGTGGACATACATACACAGGTGGACATACATACACAGGTGACATACACACAGAGGGTGGATATACATACAGAGGGTGGACATACATACAGAGGGTGGACATACATACAGAGGGTGGACATACACACAGAGGTGGGCATACATACAGAGGATGGACATACATACACAGGTGGACATACAGAGGGTGGATATACATACAGAGGTGGACATGCATACAGAGGACGGACATACATGCAAAGGGTGGGCATACATACAGAGGGTGGACATACATACAGAGGTGGACATACTAATAGAGGACGGACATACATACAGACGGTGGACATACACACAGAGGGTGGACATACATACACAGGTGGACATACATACAGAGGACGGACATAGATACAGAAGTGGACATACATACAGAGGTGGACATACATACACAGGTGGACATACATACAGAGGTGACATACATACAGAGGTGGACATACTAATAGAGGACGGACATACATACAGACGGTGGACATACACACAGAGGGTGGACATACATACACAGGTGGACATACATACAGAGGACGGACATAGATACAGAAGTGGACATACATACAGAGGTGGACATACATACACAGGTGGACATACATACAGAGGTGACATACATACAGAGGGATGAAGTACACACAGAGGTGGACATACACACAGAGGGTGGACATACATACAGAAGTGGACATACATACAGAGGTGGACATACATACAGAGGGTGGACATACATACAGAGAACGGACATACATACAGAGGTGACATACATACAGAGGTGGACATACATACAGAGGACGGACATACATACAGAGGACGGACATACATACACAGGTGGACATACACACAGAGGTGGACATACACACAGAGGGTGGACATACATACAGAAGTGGACATACATACAGAGGTGGACATACATACAGAGGGTGGACATACATACAGAGAACGGACATACATACAGAGGTGACATACATACAGAGGTGGACATACATACAGAGGACGGACATACATACAGAGGACGGACATACATACACAGGTGGACATACACACAGAGGGTGGACATACATACAGAAGTGGACATACATACAGAGGGGGGACATACACACAGAGGGTGGACATACATACAGAGGTTGGACATACATACAGAGGTGACATACATACAGAGGTTGGACATACATACAGAGGTGACATACATACAGAGGTGGACATACATACAGAGGGTGGACATACATACAGAGGTTGGATATACATACAGAGGTGACATACATACAGAAGTGGACATACATACAGAGGTGACATACATACAGAAGGATCACGTACATACAGAGGTGGACAAACATACAGAGGGTGGACATACATACAGAGAACGGACATACATACAGAGGTGATATACATACAGAGGTGGACATACATACAGAGGACGGACATACATACAGAGGACGGACATACATACACAGGTGGACATACATACAGAGGTGGACATACATACAGAGGTGGACATACATACAGAGGTGGACATACATACAGAGGACGGACATACATACACAGGTGGACATACACACAGAGGGTGGACATACATACAGAAGTGGACATACATACAGAGGGTCGACATACATACAGAGGACGGACATACATACAGAGGTGGACATACATACACAGGTGGACATACATACAGAGGTGGACATACATACAGAGGACGGACATACATACAGAGGTTGGACATACATACAGAGGTGACATACATACAGAGGTGACATACATACAGAGGGTGGACATACATACAGAGGGTGGACATACATACAGAGGGTCGACATACATACAGAGGTGGACATACATACACAGGTGGACATACATACAGAGGTGGACATACATACAGAGGACGGACATACATACAGAGGTTGGACATACATACAGAGGTGACATACATACAGAGGTGACATACATACAGAGGGTGGACATACATACAGAGGGTGGACATACATACAGAGGGTCGACATACATACAGAGGTGGACATACATACACAGGTGGACATACATACAGAGGTGACATACATACAGAGGTGACATACATACAGAGGGTGGACATACATACAGAGGGTGGACATACATACAGAGGTTGGACATACATACAGAGGTGACATACATACAGACGGTGGACATACATACAGAGAACGGACATACACACAGAGGTTACATACATACAGAGGGTGGACATACATACAGACGGTGGACATACATACAGAAGTGACATACATACAGAGGTTGGACATACATACAGAGGTGACATACATACAGAGGTGGACATACATACAGAGGGTGGACATACATACAGACGGTGGACATACATACAGAGGTGACATACATACAGAGGGATGACGTACATACAGAGGTGGACATACATACAGAGGGTGGACATACACACAGAGGGTGGACATACATACAGAGGTTGGACATACATACAGAGGTGACATACATACAGAGGTTGGACATACATACAGAGGTGACATACATACAGAGGTGGACATACATACAGAGGGTGGACATACATACAGAGGTTGGATATACATACAGAGGTGACATACATACAGAAGTGGACATACATACAGAGGTGACATACATACAGAAGGATCACGTACATACAGAGGTGGGCAAACATACAGAGGTGGACATACATACAGAGGTTGGACATACATACAGAGGTGGACAAACATACAGAGGTGGACATACATACAGAGGTTGGACATACATACAGAGGTGACATACATACAGACGGTGGACATACATACAGAGGTGACATACATACAGAGGGATGACGTACATACAGAGGTGGACATACATACAGAGCGTGGACATACACACAGAGGGATGACGTACATACAGAGGTTGACATACATACAGAGGGTGGACATACATACAGAGGTGGAAAAACATAGAGGGTGGACATACATACAGACGGTGGACGTACATACAGAGGTGGACATACATACAGAGGGTGGACATACATACAGAGGTGGAAAAACATAGAGGGTGGACATACATACAGAGGGTGGACATACATACACAGGTGGACATACATACAGAGGTGACATACATACACAGGTGGACATACACACAGAGGTGGACATACACACAGAGGTGACATACATACAGAAGTGACATACATACAGAGGTGGACATACATACAGAGGTGGACATACATACACAGGTGGACATACACACAGAGGTGGACATACACACAGAGGTGACATACATACAGAAGTGACATACATACAGAGGTGGACATACACACAGAGGTGGAAATACATACACAGGTGGACATACATACAGATTTGACATACATACAGAGGTGGACATACATACAGAGGTGACATACACACACAGGTGACATAAATACACAGGTGGACATAGATACAGAAGTGGACATACATACAGAGGTGGACATACACACAGAGGACGGACATACACACAGAGGTGACATACATACAGAGGACGGACATACACACAGAGGTGACATACATACAGAGGTGGACATACACACAGAGGTGACATACACACAGAGGTGACATAAATACACAGGTGGACATACATACACAGGTGGACATACACACAGAGGTGACATACACACAGAGGTGACATACATACAGAGGTGGACATACACACAGAGGTGACATACACACAGAGGTGACATAAATACACAGGTGGACATACATACACAGGTGGACATACATACAGGGGTGGACATACATACACAGGTGGACATACATACAGAGGTGGACATACATACAGAGGTGACATACATACAGAGGGTGGACATACATACAGAGGTGGACATACATACAGAGGTGGACATACATACAAAGGTGGACATACATACAGAGGTGACATACATACAGAGGGTGGACATACATACAGAGGTGGACATACATACAGAGGTGGACATACATACAGAGGATGGACATACATACACAGGTGGACATACATACACAGGTGGACATACATACACAGGTGGACATACATACAGAGGTGACATACATACAGAGGGTGGACATACATACAGAGGTGGACATACATACAGAGGTGGACATACATACAGAGTATGGACATACATACAGAGGTGGACATACATACAGAGGGTGGACGTACATACAGAGGTGGACATACATACAGAGGTGGACATACATACAGAGGACGGACATACATACAGAGGTTGGACATACATACAGAGGTGACATACATACAGAGGTTGGACATACATACAGAGGTGACATACATACAGAGGGTGGACATACATACAGAGGGTGGACATACATACAGAGGTTGGACATACATACAGAGGTGACATACATACTGACGGTGGACATACATACAGAGGTGACATACATACAGAGGGATGACGTACATACAGAGGTGAACATACATACAGAGGGTGGACATACACACAGAGGGTGGACATACATACAGAGGTTGGACATACATACAGATTTGACATACATACAGAGGTTGGACGTACATACAGAGGTGACATACATACAGAGGTGGACATACATACAGAGGGTGGACATACATACAGAGGTTGGACATACATACAGAGGTGACATACATACAGAAGTGGACATACATACAGAGGTGACATACATACAGAGGGATCACGTACATACAGAGGTGGACATACATACAGAGGTTGGACATACATACAGAGGTGACATACATACAGACGGTGGACATACATACAGAGGTGACATACATACAGAGGGATGACGTACATACAGAGGTGGACATACATACAGAGCGTGGACATACACACAGAGGGATGACGTACATACAGAGGTGGACATACATACAGAGAGTGGACATACATACAGAGGTGGAAAAACATAGAGGGTGGACATACATACAGACGGTGGACGTATATACAGAGGTGGACATACATACAGAGGGTGGACATACATACAGAGGTGGAAAAACATAGAGGGTGGACATACATACAGAGGGTGGACATACATACACAGGTGACATACATACAGAGGGTGGACATACGCCTCCAAAGGGTTGATGACCTGTGAGTGATCTGGAATGATATTGTAAGAGCGGCCACCCTGACCACCTGACTGGCATTGTCTGCCGCTTGACAAACTTGAGACCTACAGTACGGCAGAATACCCACCTGGCGTTGAGAACTCACCCCATTGCTGTTGGCGTCGAGTGTGGCTAGCTTCCACCGGGCGACCATCTCCAACTCGCTCAGTCCCTTCGTCTCCAGGGGCGACCTACAACGCCACCGGTTATTTTTGTTTCTTTGTAATTCCAAGCATCGAGTAGTTCTAACCAAATACTACAGCTACAGACCGCTTTTCTCAGCTTCAAGGAATGTTCAAGCCAAAACGCAGCAATGGAAACAAGTTCCACACACTGTGTATGACGAGACGAGCCAACGCTTTAGCCTTTTACTCTCACAGTGAGTGAGTGAGTGAGTGAGTGAGTGAGTGAGTGAGTGAGTGAGTGAGTGAGTGAGTGAGTGAGTGAGTGAGTGAGTGAGTGAGTGAGTGAGTGAGTGAGTGAGTGAGTGAGTGAGTGAGTGAGTGAGTGAGTGAGTGAGTGAGTGAGAGAGAGTATGGTTTTACGCCGCTTTTAGCAATATTCCAGCAATATCACGGCGGGGGACACCAGAAATGGGCTTCACACTGGTACCCATGTCGGGAATCGAACCCGGGTCTTCAGCGTGACGAGCGAACGCTTTAACCACTAGGCTACCCGACCGCCCCTTTTACTCTCACAGACTCACATTGTTCTCTATTATACCACTTTGTCTGTTCGTTTCACTGACAATTTTTATCATGTGTTTAAATGATTGAGATAAGATGTACATATTGGAATAGCTCGCCCCTCTGTGCATTTTACGGTTTCGTCAGCATTCTGCCGGACGAGACTTTTTATAATTTGGTGTGGGGATTATTTGACTCATTGGACCTGATAGCTGATGCATTGGCTCCCTGGGCCCTCTTCTCCTCGCTCAGGTCGGCCATCAGGTCAGCAAGGAAGCGGCGCTTCTGGCTCAGCGGGCAACCTGCAACGACATACGCGCCTACAACCACAGTACACACACGTACACACACGTACACATCTCGTATACTGTACGCCTTTGTTCTTCTGGTTACTCGAGACGTTGTTCCCCTAAATATTCAACCCCGTTCCCCTGTCCACATAATCCCCATGTTCCCCTCCACATTCAACCCCCGTTCCCCTGTGCATGTGTGGTAACGCTCCAAAAGGACATCGTAGATTTCATTTAATGGCTCCGCATCCCTGCACCCCTCCATCCCATTACCCATCCTCCGTATCAAATCAACACGTCTCAGGGTGTCGCAATATCTTCTGTTCAACACAGATGTGTCTAAACCCACTTATAGAATATGGACACCACAACAGTTTTGACAGGCGTATGCCACACAGAACACATGTACATCTATACTGCTCAAGGTGACAGCGCTACTCTGGTATCTCCTGCAAAACTGGACCGTGCCACTCGTGTGCATTACTTGGGGTCCAACTCTCGTCTCGTCACCTGTCTGTGTCTCGGATTCTGCCACTCCTACCGCCGCCATCAAATAAACGGAAGCTAGTTCCAGATAAACTCACCCTTCATCCACTCACCCTTCATAGGCCTGTCTTCGCTGATAGAACAGTTGGGTTCCACCGCGTGTGTGGATGTTCCCGGGATGGGCATGCCCGTGGCCTCCTCCACGCACCAGCAGTACTGGGTGGCCTCGTGGCACTGGGCCTTCGTCCACTTCCCGTCCTCCTGACAGCGGGGGATGTAGATGTTGGCATTGGGCTCCTGGCTGTCCTGGGTCAGAGCCGCCTCTCGCTCCTCCACGCAGCTCTTGTTGGTGTCTGTGCATGTAATGGGGGGAGACACGTGGGATGAGAAAAGTCTGCTTAGGGCTATCATCAAATGACTTAAATCTTTGAGGAGAGCAGTCAGGACCTTATGGGTGACATTCTACAGAGTCATGTGTATTAAAACTAAATGTTAAGATCAACACCTTAAGGGTTTGGTTTACAAATGCAACAGACTTAGTCATATAATGATTATCATGGAATTATTATTACAAAGAAATCTGATTTACAAATTACGGATCATTATGAACCAAATGTCAAAAGCCATTCCCAAGTCACTGGATGATTGGTATACGGACCTCACGCTCTCGTTCTGCCGGGTCGTTGCTTTATTTCGAAATGGTCACTTAATAAAGGTATCTTGGGACACACACACGTCCTGATGACAATACGGAGATAAAATTTCCATCTGATTTCTGTCGGGATGTCATGTATTTTAGACTGGGGGTATCCGGTAAAGACCACGTGATGACGCCATGATGTTTGCTGGGACACATCCAAGCTCCGCCATTAAGCAATCGCAGACCCACTACACTGAAACCGGTTCAAGAAACTGAAACTGGCAAGGCTCACCGCACTACACGTAAACCGGTTCAAGAAACTGGAACTCGTAAATATGTTTAATATAGCGTTGGAACAGAATGTCATGCGATCATACATTTCCACTGTTTTCATTTCAAATCTCCTGGTCCTTGTCTCTGAACCGGTTTTTTTAACTATTTGTAGAGATGCTAAGGGAGACAGCAAAGCGTTTAACTAAACTGGGCTAAAAGCAACGACCCGGCTCACCACCTATGTGATACCTTCGCCTTCGCAAGGGCAACGCTAACATCTATACGTTTCAATAGCAACGCTACACCTACATCTTATTACGCAGATTGTACAACATCATCAAAAGCTGACTCGTTCGTGGAGACACAATTGTGAAGATCTTATACAGTTTGCATCATTGGCTTGGGAATGGCGGGATTGATAAAGTGATTTACATGTTCGCTCCGGCCTCTTACGATGCTTTTTCGGCTCGGGTGTGTTGGCGAGGGTAAGAGCCGGGTTCCACACTGGCCGGGACTGGAAGAATGTGTCTGTGCGAGGACAAAGGAAGGTAGAGCACCTGTCAGTTGCGGCTGCACCCGAGGTCAAGGTCACGGTGTATATCGTCACGTGTTTCAACACTAAACGTTAAGTTTCACATTGCCATCTTTAATTTACATAACTTATCTTGAATCAAAGAGGATTAACATGAATGATGATCTGATGGTTAAGAGCCACACTGGCCAACATGTCACCTGACGAGGAGAGGGGGAGGAAGAACGGGGAGGGTCGACAAGCTGGCTACGACAGGGGAAGCAATGGCGCATACAAAAGCAAAGCGGAAGGGTGCCCCATCAAACAGCGTAGACCGTGACGGTCTTACCACGTCGTCGACGGCCACGTGGAGGAAGCAGTGGTTGCCAGGTGACAGATTTCTGTGACGCGACACAGTTGATGTTAGACTATGTGTGGACTGATGTGACGGGACACAGTTGATGTTAGACTATGTGTGAACTGATGTGACGGGACACAGTTGATGTTAGACAATGTGTGAACTGATGTGACGGGACACAGTTGATGTTAGACAATGTGTAGAGTGATGTGACGGGACACAGTTGATGTTAGACTATGTGTGAACTGATGTGACGGGACACAGTTGATGTTAGACAATGTGTGAACTGATGTGACGGGACACAGTTGATGTTAGACTATGTGTAGAGTGATGTGACGGGACACAGTTGATGTTAGACTATGTGTGGACTGATGTGACGGGGCACAGTTGATGTTAGACTATGTGTGAACTGATGTGACGGGACACAGTTGATGTTAGACTATGTGTGAACTGATGTGACGGGACACAGTTGATGTTAGACAATGTGTAGAGTGATGTGACGGGACACAGTTGATGTTAGACAATGTGTGAACTGATGTGACGGGACACAGTTGATGTTAGACAATGTGTGAACTGATGTGACGGGACACAGTTGATGTTGACTATGTGTAGAGTGATGTGACGGGACACAGTTGATGTTAGACTATGTGTGGACTGATGTGACGGGACACAGTTGATGTTAGACTATGTGTAGAGTGATGTGACGGGACACGGTTGATGTTAGACTATGTGTGAACTGATGTGACGGGACACAGTTGATGTTAGACAATGTGTGAACTGATGTGACGGGACACAGTTGATGTTAGACTATGTGTAGAGTGATGTGACGGGACACAGTTGATGTTAGACTATGTGTGGACTGATGTGACGGGGCACAGTTGATGTTAGACTATGTGTGAACTGATGTGACGGGACACAGTTGATGTTAGACTATGTGTGAACTGATGTGACGGGACACAGTTGATGTTAGACAATGTGTAGAGTGATGTGACGGGACACAGTTGATGTTAGACTATGTGTGAACTGATGTGACGGGACACAGTTGATGTTAGACAATGTGTGAACTGATGTGACGGGACACAGTTGATGTTAGACTATGTGTGAACTGATGTGACGGGACACAGTTGATGTTAGACAATGTGTAGAGTGATGTGACGGGACACAGTTGATGTTAGACTATGTGTGAACTGATGTGACGGGGCACAGTTGATGTTAGACTATGTGTGAACTGATGTGACGGGACACAGTTGATGTTAGACAATGTGTAGAGTGATGTGACGGGACACAGTTGATGTTAGACTATGTGTAGAGTGATGTGACGGGACACAGTTGATGTTAGACTATGTGTGGACTGATGTGACGGGACCCAGTTGATGTTAGACTATGTGTGAACTGATGTTACGGGACACAGTTGATGTTAGACTATGTGTGGACTGATGTGACGGGACACAGTTGATGTTAGACAATGTGTGGACTGATGTGACGGGACACAGTTGATGTTAGACAATGTGTGGACTGATGTGACGTGACACAGTTAATGTTAGACTGTGTGGACTGATGTGCAGAGACTGTTGTGACGCGACACAGTTGAGTGAGAGAGAGAGAGAGAGAGGAGGGGAGTGCCGTACATGCTAACGCTTCTTACACTCATACAATGGTGCAGTGTTCATGGTGCAGTGTTCATGGTGCAGTGTTCATGGTGCAGTGTTCATGGTGCACACACCTGCCAGCAGCTACCAAGTGTGCAGGTTACAACAGGGAGCAGACAATACAAGCGGAAGGAGGGTTTGGGCGTGGATTTGGGTGGTCAGAATAAGTTTAATATGGATTTAACTAAATCTCAGTTTCCTTTCTTCCCAGGCATTACACTACTTAATAAAAACGTGGTTCAAAAGGAACAAAAAGACATGGACAGCAGCTACAGTCACGGCGGCGTAGCGAGGCATGTGCGCCTGGCGTCATGGCGGCCATCAAGTTCCGGGTACGCTTGCTGCAGTACACGGGAGGGACAAGTCACAGTTGCGTGTCTTTCCACTCCCTGAGAAATTATACTGATAATGTGGACGTGTTATGTGTTGTTTCATAAGGTCAGCAAATTACCGACAACACTGTATACAGCAGGCATGTCAGAGCTACTGATGGGTGTTAGAGGGAGCGCGCCATGTTAGTTGTGACGGCTTATGGAGGAGTATATCAAACAATTCGTGGCCACCACGGAAGTGAGACACGTGCATTCCGTGCAAAGGAGGCATTCAAACAAACACATTAACACGACGTTGTAAGACATGAAACCATATTAAGAACATAATGAGAGGCTAGTAGGTCATGCTAACACAGGGTACAACGATATGCCGGAAGTCGGCACAGCGCACTGCATGCCGGGAAAAATAAAAAGTAAAAGACCTATACCTTGTTTCTTCTGTGCAACCGAAGGCTCCGTGGTTCGCCCATCTGAGTTCAGAGATATGAACAATCGAAAAGAGTCTATAAACAGGAGGTACCCCACTCTGTTCATGCATGAGTCTTTGTATTGCACTTGCCCGGTGTTCGGGTGGTGTTAGTGTTAGAGGGGAGGCCAGCACAGTCCGGTGGGGAACACAATAGTCAGGTTACAGGGACTTCTGAGTAACTAGAGGGGCTTCCTCGAAATGTTTTCAAAAAATCTTAAAATTGTGTTGATACGTAGCTTCCATTATGCTGATTCCACTGCTTCCACAATATTGCGGAGAGGAGCGTACTTTACATTAGTACATTATAACTTACAGTTTGGCACTTTGAGATATCGAAAGTGAAGTGGCTTTACATGTAATGGGTGAAGGTTTTTAGAATCAAACGGGCGTGTGTTGAAGGACACCAGACTGTACAGAGCCTAGCGCTGACAGAAGAACAGATACATGGCAGAGAAGAGCAGACACCGTAACCATGGCAACATAATTATAATATTCACATATTCATGGCAATAACATAGAAAAACAACTACATGAAAACGCGAACAACCCCACTTCCGCTCCGAGCCTAGTTTCGTACTGGCTGTCACCAGATACGCAGTGACAGAAGAACTACTAAAACATAGCAGTCTAGGCCAGTTTCAGCACAGATTGCGACATAACTGATAGACCCCTCGGGGCTTCCTCTGAACAAGCCTACATTTTATTATCAGTTTTACTCTATTTTAGTTGTCAAATAAACATTATGTTCAGATAACGCTGGCCATCCCAGACACGCTGATTACTCCTGACTGATAAGATAGTTCCATGTAAAGAACAAACTGCGTAAAACATAGCTGCTATTATAATTTTGATATTTGGCTATGTTCCAATGATGCGCACATGCTGTTTAATTAAATCCCCGTGAGACTAAACCTATTTTTGCACGTTCGTTTTACTTCATGGTCAACGCATAAAACATATACTGTACTTTCGTCTTTTGAAATTTTTGAGGTAATTGAATCTCTTGATTAAGTGACAGGTCAATGTTAATTGCTTCCGAAAGAGAGGAATATTCTGAATCATTTGTTTCTCTATTACCAGACAAGGTTGCATGTTCTTAATTCACCAACAGCAAATACGAGAGGAAGTAAAGGCGAAAACGAAAATCTGAAATCAAATCGTTCACCTGCAAGTACCTTGTCGCTTGACAAACTCACTGGATGTCTCTAGTTGCGATGAGATCGTTTGTACAAGAATTCCTGGTTATCTGACATTACATGGAGCCGACATCACAAGCTGGTGTACAGAGATGTGTACAGAGATGTGTACAGAGATGTGTACAGAGATGTGTACAGAGAGGCGGAAAAACCAAACCGAAAGCGGAAGTAGTTAAGGCGACAATGTCAGTATTGCGATGACAGGACGCCAGATGTCGCTCCACCACCACCAGCCTGCACAACACCAGAGGAAGTGATGCTGGAGCGAATACCGCCAGTCTTGGTGTCACGTGACTGAAGACGTAACCCGTTTGTTTCTTTGGTGTCTAAGTACTTGTAGCTCTACAGGTTCTTGCTATGGTATTAAAAGTGGATTTACATCTACAGGTTCTTGCTATGCTAATAATTATAACGTAAATGATGCTGAAGTATGTGTAATATTAGCAGACGCACATGACAAGAACTCCCGGCGTCTGTTGCCAGGGAATAGTTGGACAAGCCTACATACACACTCTGCAGAGTGATGGAAGCACACACGGGACAAGGAACATGCAGGACAATGTGTGTCACACGCAACTTGGAATCTCATTTATTGCTGTCGATATTTTGTGAAGAAATAAAGCATACATCGAAAGAAATATCACATTTTCACGTCTTCAAAATCACCGCGTTTCTAACATCCCTCCTCTCAAATCAAAGGAATCAATACTTTCAGAAGCGCTCTCCGCCTTCAGCCATTTCTAATAATGCAAATGTTCATATTCTACCCGAAGCTGTGATAGGTCATGTCCGCTGTCAACAGATTATCCAGTTGGGCAACTTGCAGCCTGGGACGTACTCACAGTGGCATTGTTTCTTACGCGTTGTTAATTTCAACTTCAGGACACAAACACCGATATTTCTTTGTTGTCGTGACCAAGAGGAAGCGACTTTTCCGCCGATGATCGCGATTAGTCAATCCGAGTACATAGGGCTCGATTCCAAATGGCGAATGCTACATCTTGTCGTTTGTACATACACGAGTGATGCTCGCAATGTTAATGTTTCAGCTGTACACGGCAAGGAGGGAGTACAGAAAGATGCGGGGGGGGGGGGGGGGGGGGGGGGGGGAATGGGTGGTGGTGGTGGGGGATGTGTTAGTACCTCAGCAGAAGCAGGAAGTGAAAGGAGAACCTTTCGGCATATACCGGCGGAGATGGGATGGGGATGGGCTCAGGGGTCGGGGTCGAGGGATGAGGGGTAGATGTGGTGGGGTCGGGATTGGTGATGTTAGTACCTCACTGCAGGACCAGAGAAACAAACGGGGTAGGATGCACGTTACCCACGTGCGGACAGGCGCAATGAATGCTGGGAGTCCACACCAGAGCAACATGCATTACATATTTAAACAACATATGACCGTTAACAAACGTTTACGTTTATACGTTTCCATAGTTTGAGTGGCTTTCAATGGAAAATAATAAGTTATTATATTCATGACAGAGATTTAAATATTTGAGGCAATGCTTGAAAGTGCAGGAGCCTTGGTACAGGTGTACTTACATTTGATGTCGATCCCCAGACACAACGTCCACTCTGACATCTCTATGTGGCGGTCGGGGTTGGAATCACAATTGTTCAAAAATGTCTTGGCACAAGCTTTGGGTTTGATAAGTTTTTTCACCATGCGAACGAAAGAGCGTATTTCTTTAAATTTGAGCCGCTTGTCGTTATCTTTGTCCAGCTGTGCAAACTTCCACTCCACCGTCTTCTTCTCCCGCTCAACCTGGCTCTCACTCGCCGAGGGGCCTGTGGAACACAACCCTGCTGTCAAGGCATCCCCACCGTGCACCCAGTCCAACCATCCAATCTTACCATTCAATCTCTCCATCCAATCTCACCATCCACTCTCACATCCCATCTCAACATCCAATCCCACCATCAGATCTCACCATCCCATCTCAACATCCAATCTCACCTTCCAATCTCAACATCCAATCCCACCATCCAAGCTCAACCAATCTTACCATCCAATCTCACCATCCCATCTCACCATCCAAGCTCACCATCCAATCTCAACATCCAATCCCACCATCCAAGCTCACCATCCAATCTTACCATCCAAGCTCACCATCCAATCTCAACATCCAATCTTACCATCCCATCTCACCATCCAATCTCACCATCCCATCTCAACATCCAATCTCACCATCCAGTCTTACCATCAAATGTCAGATCCCATCTCAACATGCAATCTCACCATCCAATCTCACCATCCAATCTTACCATCCAATCTCAACATCCAATCCCAGCATCCAATCTTACCATCTAATCTTACCATCCAATCTTACCATCCAATCTTACCATCCAATCTCAACATCCAATCTCACCATCCAATCTTACCATCCAATCTCAACATCCAATCTCACCATCCAATCTTACCATCCAATCTCAACATCCAAGCTCACCATCCAATCTTACCATCCAAGCTCACCATCCAAGCTCACCATCCAATCTCAACATCCAATCCAAGCATCCAATATTACCATCTAATCTTACCATCCAATCTTACCATCAAATCCCACCATCCAATCTCAACATCTAATCTCACCATCCAATCTCACCATCCAATCTCACCATACAATCTTACCATCCAATCTCAACATCCAATCCCACCATCCAATCTTACCATCCAATCTCAACATCCAAGCTCACCATCCAATCTCACCAACCAATCTCACCATCCAATCTTACCATCCAATCTCAACATCCAATCTCACCATCCAAGTTCACCATCCAATCTCACCATCCCATCTCACCATCCAATCTTACCATCCAATCTCACCATCCAAGCTCACCATCCAATCTTACCATCCCATCTCAACATCTCATCCCACCATCCAATCTTACCATCCCATCTCAACATGCAATCTCACCTTCCAATCTCACCATCCCATCTTACTATCCAATCTAACCATCCCATCTCAATATCCAATCTCACCATCCAATCCCACCATCCAATCTCAACATCCAATCTCACCATCCAATCTTACCATCAAATCTCACCATCCCATCTCAATATCCAATCTTACCATCCGATTTCACCATCCAATCTCACCATCCCATCTCAACATCCAATCTCACCATCCAATCTCACCGTCCAATCTCACCGTCCAATCTCACCATCCCTTCTCAACATCCAATCTCAACATCCAATCTCAACATCCAATCTCACCATCCAATCTTACCATCAAATCTCACCATCCCATCTCAATATCCAATCTTAACATCCGATTTCACCATCCAATCTCACCATCCCATCTCAACATCCAATCTCACCATCCAATCTCACCGTCCAATCTCACCGTCCAATCTCACCATCCCTTCTCAACATCCAATCTCAACATCCAATCTCACCATCAAATCCCATCATCCAATCTCACTATCAAATCCCACCATCCAATCTGACCACTAAATCACACCATCAAACCTCACATTGTATGTGCGATGGCACACCAGAACCATTTTAGCGCCTTATATATGTAAACCCGTGGAAATCCGGGCTAGAATAGGTCTTCAGCAACCCATGCTTGCCGTAAAAGGTGACTATGCTTGTCGTAAGAGGCGACAAACGGGATCGGCTGGTCAAACTGGCTGACTTGGTTGTTGCATGTCATCGTATCCCATTTGCGTGAATTCACTGGATTGTCTGGTCCAGACTCGATTATTTACAGACCGCCGTCATATAGGTGGAATATTGCTGAGGGCGGCGTTACGAACAAAGAAAGAAAGTAAATGCACGCACACGCACACGCACACACACACACACACACGCACACACAATACGCACACACAATACGCACACACACACACCACGCACATTGTTATCAACAGAGTTACAGTTGCCACACTAAATTGTACTTTAAAAAACAATTCATTCCAGCAATATTTTACGCATAACGAAAATGCATAGCATGTGCTGTTGTACATCGTTCACATCATATTATATGATTTATTGCAATATATGTTCTGTTACATCATGATGGGGTGTGGTTTTATACCAGATATATACTTAAACATTATAGTATGTTCATCAGTCTTTGCCACTTTGTGTTGAAATTGGGAATGTTATTATTCTTTATTGCTCTATATTTTTTAATCCTGAATCTATCCTTCAAGATGTTTGTAAATGGCCCAAGAAATGAAATTTGTGCTTTAATGCTAGATATTTAGATATATCTCTTTGCCGCCAGGATTATATGATTAATCATCGTATGTTTTGGTTAAATTCCATACAATATGTGAGAACTTGTGAAAAGAAACTTATTTTCTCACAGACTCATTTAGGAGTGTGTTCAGGTCAGTTCGTGTGTACATGGGGACAGTAGATAACTAAATGGTTTTTGTTACAGAAACTACAGATGTCATCGTCTGTGAGTTTAATCTGAAACAGTGGTGACTTTGTGAAAATAATAGGGTGAATAAATCTTTATTGAAAGTCTATCAATTTTGTATCTTTTGTACAATTTCTAGATTGCATAAAAATATATTTCCAGTTGTTTTAGTTGTACTTACTGGGAGTCGGGGGTGTCTGGTCGGAACTCTTGACTCGGTTATGCTCCTGTGTGAACTCCCCCACCAGGGCAGTGTTAAACTTGAGCCGATCCCCCGGCGTGCACGCTGAGGATACAAAATACATGACCCCTCAAAAGAAACGCGAATATCATACATGTTGGTTAATATGTGAAGACTTATTCATATTCAAGAGATATTAGATTGGTTCGGTGCACAAACGATCATACTGGTATGTTGTGTGAACCGATGCTCATGAACGCATCACATGTGACGTCATAGGCCCATGACACGAGATGCACCATTCATCTCGCGCAGGATTAGCGGGTAAGGTTTGGAAATCACGTGCAGCATATCGTGATCAGAATAAAGACACTCTGTGGTAACACTTGACTGATTGTTAGTTTTGTCATTAATAGGTACACATGTGCAACATCCCTTCTTAACGTAGGTACTTCTCTATATGTGTCTATGGTTCGCGTTTCTTTTGGCAGTGAGTATAGATGCATGTCTACATGAATCCTTCGCAATGACCTATGGGAACGTGTCACCCTTTCATATAAGTGTATCCCTACGTGCATATAATAAGCGTTCTCAATTGTATCTAGTAGTATAGGTAATGGTGATTCTGGCTCACTTCCACTGGAGCCAGATTTATACCCAAATACCTTTACTACAAAGGTAATTTTTTATGCAAAAACCGCGATGCGAACAAACGATCGTCATGCGTCGTATTAAAAGAAACATCAATATTAATTAATAATGGATAAAATTTACTATAGCCTGCAAGGATATTGGAAAGGTATAGGAGCAATACAAAAACTAGCCACTGCGGCTAAGGTATCTAAAGATGTGGCCAAGGATTGGTTAAAGAAACAAGCAATGTGGCAAATATACTTACCGGCACCGCATTATATACCGAGGAAGAAGTTTGATATTTTAACAACGAATGAAGTTCATCAGGCTGACCTCTTGTTTCTTCCTCATGATAAGGTAAGACGCAAAACATATAAATACTCTTTAACCATAGTGCATGTGGCTGGCGGCACAAAGAGGCTGAGCCATTAACCTCAAAAGATTCAACAAAAGTAGCTAATGCTCTGAGCCGCATATATAAACATGGACCATTAATATGGCCTAAGTTGTTTCAAGTCGACCATGGTCGCGATTTTATGGGATCAGTGACTAAACTATTAACAAAGCATGACGTCACAATAAGGCGTGGTGAAAAAGAAGCCCACCATAGTCAAGCTATTGTTGAAAGATTTAACCAGACATTAGCGGAATGTTTGTTTGGATATCAGTATGGGTTTGAAATGAAATCGGATCGATTAAGATCAATCGAATGGGTGACACGATTATCAGCTGTTGTATCAGCACTGAATAATGAAGTAATGAGATTAATCGGGAAGAAACCATTCGATGCGAGTCAAATATAATCTGTGACTTCCGAATCTTCAGTACCGAGGAGAGGCAAAGAACAAAAACTTCAGGATAGAGTAAACGTGAGATATTTATACCAACCTAGTGAACCCCAAGGAGGCCTTCGTCGTGCAACCAATCTCATTTGGTCTCTTAAGATATATAACATCGGTTGGTTATGAAAGAAGGAGAGCCTATTCTTAAATATCTTAATGATCGACCGGGAAGGTGATTTGTATGAGAAGAGTTGCTCATAGTTCCCAGCGATACAGTATTACCGCTGTAACCATAAGCATAGGTAGTTACACCATCCTTATCAATCCATCTCTTTGTATTGAAGGGGGATAATGATGTCTTGTTCATTTTTAATCCATATATCCTGTGATTGACACTTTTTAAAGTGTTCATCTCGTGTTTGAATGTGCTACCACTGAATAATGCTTGTTTATACTGTTTGTGTTTGATAAGCTTTTTTACCACATACTTATCAATGCCTTTAGCTTTTCTTATCCCCCCATTATCAGCCTTCTTTACAGAATACATCTTAGGTCTTAATCCAACATACTCTGCAATAGGAGTTCCAGCACATTCATCCTTCATCTTACCTAATACCTTTTTATTTACTACGCTGTGCAATGGATTATCTTTGGGGTTATCGCTCTTATCATACATTTTTCACTGTTTTTTCTGCCATATCTTTATACACATCCTCGGTTTGTATTTCCATCAACAAAGAATCAGTATTGGTATATAGCACCTAGCATCTATAGCCGCATTGCTTCTTAAGTTCGTTGTAATAAAAGTCATACATAAGTGTTTTGACAAGTCAAGAATACTCATACCAACGTACACCGTTCTGGTGAATTTTATATTACTCCTCTGCATATCTAGTGCCGCTAAGTCGTTATCAAATATCTAATTTCTATTATAAGCAGGACCGGCTATAAGTTTCCTGAGTCTTTCTTCCTCATTAGATCTGACCGATTTAACATCAACCCGCTTCCTTAGATTCTCCATAGTTTTACCAAATACTGAGTTATTCATGAGCTTAAAAAAGTTCTTTTCAAAATGGCTGGTAGCCATCCATCCTGTTCAGCCTTATATAGGGCTTCATCCAAGGGCTTTGATCAAACTTAAGTACTCTGTGTATTTTCTTTATTTTCTTGCTGAGTGATAGATCTAACTGGAGATTTCTATAGTGAACTATTATATATTTTGTCTTATCCATCAAATTTGGTACGAGTTTTTCTAGGTTAGCTTACCTAGTATTGACCATCAAGGAGTGTTGATGTTCTGACATCCAATCTTTATTAACCATTAATCTTTCGGGAGCTAGCGGATAACTGTTATGGTCTTTGTGTAACTCTGTTTGATATTCTAAGTCAACTTCTAGTATGTACCCTTTATCGGAATCTGTGGACATATCATACACATCAACCCTCTCAAAACCACCCGTGGGTAAAGGTTGGCTCATAGCCCATCCGTACAAATTGTTGGCGCTGAGATATAATATGTGCCTATCAGGTATACTCGAATCATATCCTTCCACTAATTCATTATTGGCCTTCGAATACCTTTTCACCGTCATCGATATACCACCTCCTTATCCTTTCTCAACAAACAAGTGCATGTCATAATCTGTGAATAATTTTAGTTCTGCACCAGTCTTCTTCAACAATGCATCCCATGAGAGTCTGGGACTGGAATAGTACCATGCTGGATCAAACCGTATTGTTTTAAACATGTCTTTCTAAATATTTCAAACCTATTGGCAAGGAACAGTACATCGTTTTTTAAGTACAGATTGGGATAATTGCCTAAATTCTTACAAACTAGTTTATTCCACACCGTCAGAGTGTGTTCATAATTGGCATAGGTTATTTTAGATTCTGTTAAGTTACTATAGAATGATTCAATGGGTAGCATATATTTGTAAGGATATACACTGTTTCTCAGAAACAAATGCCATGTTAACCTATCAGTATATTGATTTGTTATTGCAAGTCATCGGGATTGTTCGGATAAGCAGAATTGTCAGGGAAGATAACAAAAACTGTGCGGAGTCAATCAATCTAAGTCCTGTACTTTGTTTTGTTCTCGCTTTCCCATCCTTTTCCGTATAATGCATAGTTTTAGTCAACGAGAATGATATATACCTTTCCATATTATTAGGAATGCACAGTGAACCGCCATCAGTCTTTGAGATAGCTTGCATGATGAGATGAGAATCATATCCTTTGAGGTTATGAAACACAACAGGAATGGGTATTGTTTGAGAATTCCTTTTTAGCTTCAAGTTACACTCGATATGCATGGCTCCCCTGTAATTACCCATGACGTGGCAATGATCTCTTACAGAATCCCCATTCAGGGGTTTATTACAAACATGACAACTTGTTGATTTTAATAGGCCCTCCAATCATCCCTCGTCATACACATGGGTTTCTTACGGGATAAATTTTCCCTTATTATTCTCTCTTCATTTTGTAGATATTCTAGGAACTTTCCCACTGCATCGGGACCTCTGTAAATCACGAGCGCATTTGTTTTCCCATCATACCTTACAACTATATATCCAAACCCACAAGGAGTATGTTCTTGAGTTTTGTTTTTAAAACTACATTCAGTACTGTGTTTGGTATTTTCTATCGGTTTGATAAGTGCTTCGAGGTCAGCGTAAATTATGTATGGTACTGGCATTTGGTTACAATAATGCTTAAATTTTAATATATATTTACCCTGTTTAGGCATATCGATCCTGATAGCAGTCTGCCCAACACCTCTGCAGTCTTCATTATGCACTTCGAAAAGATCTTGTCTGCTGTACCCATGCAGACATCTTTCGAAGAAATATTTCTTTCCCTCATGATTTGTTTTATTGCATAATAGCCTGCTTAAACTCTTTATCCATGTATAATGATATTTCCCATCTTTTTCGATCAGAAATGAATTGATTCTGGGAATATGTTCTGGGGCAGAGCTTATCCTGTGTACAAGCTAAATTATTTTGCTTTTCTGCCTTATCAGTTTTTGAGATTGGTGTATCTTCGTCCATCAAGGTTGAGACCAACGTCTTTGGGATAGCTCAAAGGCCTATCCGGATTTTTGTTTTCGGGAAACTGAGCAGATATTATCATCATTCTGAAACAGTCATCGCCTTTATTTTTTATATAAATTATGGCTTTTTTCTTCTTATAATACGAGGGTAAATCTATATAAGATCCACCTTTCAAAGGCATGCAATTTGCTATATCTAAATATAAAGTATCGATTCTATCCACAACCCAACCCAAACCTCTATTAGTACATCGTTCTTAAGTTTCTTGTATCCGCTGAATTGATGCATATAATGATCCGCTTATAGACTTAGATTGGGTTATAACTTCTTGGTTGCCTCTGAAATAAGGTTCAGTATATTCAGCACTATCGTCTGCGTTATTTTTACTCAATGACATTTCAACCGTTAGATGATTTAAATAGTATAAAATACCAGCTAACTCGTAATTGATTTTGCTCGATACGATGGGTTTAACATCATTAAATCCATGTTGGAATTAATATCCATCTTCTAAACTCTTAGATACTTACCAACGCTGACTGTGGGTACGAATCTTAACTCAACGGGTTCAACAACTGGTTCAATAACGGGTTGATTATTATCAACAACAACATTCAGTAGATCAATC